TGGGTGAGCGCGCCCGCTCTATGGCCAAACCCTCTCAAAAAAAAAAAAAAAAAAGCCTACCAGTTTCTGCTCTGGAAAGCACCTTTTCCCTGCACCCAAACGCTCCAGCCCCGAGGCTCCTCCAGGCTGCCCTAAGGATGGACAGGGTGGGCTGGGACAGCCTTCTGGGACCGGGGAGCTGGGAGTTAGCTAGAGATGCAGCATCTCTGGCCCTGCCCTGCTCACTGCTTCAGAGTCTTTGTTCAACAAGATTCACAGGCAGAGCCAGCAGGTGGGACAGTGTGTAAAGTGCTGGATTCCCACATGGCCGACCGCTGTTTGAGTCCCAGACCCGGCGACTTGAAACATGCTGGGTGCGTGTGGATGCATGCCCAAAGTCCCAAGGGAAGAATGGAGGAGAAGGGATTGCAGCTTGGCTGTTCCCCCGAGGTGATTTCTTGCTTTCTATCTCTCTGTCTCTCCCTGTCTCTCCAGTGAGCACACGCACCCTATAGCAAAAATATCTTAAAAAAAAAGAAGAAAGAAAGAAAGAAAGGAAAAGAAAGAAAAAGAAAGAAAGAAAGAAAGAAAGAAAGAAAGAAAGGAAGGAAGGAAGGAAGGAAGGAAGGAAGGAAGGAAGGAAGAAGAAAGAAGAAAGAAAAAAGATTCCCAGGTGACTCGCGAGCACCTGTCAGTTTCGGACGTCCTGTTTAAGGGGCAGTGCCCCTTCGCAGCTCCCAGCCTGTGATGGGGTCTCTGTGACCCTAATGTCACCCTCCATTCTCCTCAGTCCCTCAGTCACAGAGCAGGGCTTGACCACCAACTGTGTGTGAATCGCTGGGCTGGTACTTGTCGTGGGTCAGCTAGGGGCATGGCGGTTAAGGCACTGCATCCCACATGGCCAACTATGAGGTTTGAGTTCCAGACCTGGCAGCTTGGACGCACACTGGGGCACTTGTGTATGTGTGTGTATCCAAAATCCTGAGAGGAAAATGGAGAAGGAATTGCGGTGTGGCCATCGCCCAGGGGTAATTTCTCACTTCCTTGCTCTCTCTCTCTGTCTCTCTCCGGCAAGCACACATGCCCTATGGCAAAAAAGAAAAAAAAAATCCAGGGCCAGCAGGTGGCGTGGTGGTTAAGGCATTGGGTTCCTACATGGCCAATGGCCAACCACAGTTCAAGTTCCAGACCTGGTGGCTTGCTTTCTCACTCTCTCTGATGAGGGCATATATCCTATAGTAAATCAATAATAATATTATTAAATTAAATTAAATTAATAATTCTAAGGAAAAAAAATCCCCTCTCATCCCCCTTCACAGCTTCCTCCCCCACCCCTGGCTTCTCTGAGCTGGTGCCACTGGGCCTGGATTTCCAGCACTGAGCATGTGGCAACACTCAGACGTGCCTGTCATTGCCTGGTGGCTGCAGCCCCTCAGCCACCCTAGAACACATTCCATATGCACTTCCTCTCTCATCTCTGACCGTCCCTACTCTAAGCCCCATGTTTCCTTCTCTCCCAAAAGGTCCAGCGGGCCCCAACATGTGCGCTCTGGCTCAGTGTCATTGTTCCACCTGGGACACCCTTTCCGACAAAGGTGACCAGATCGCCCTGCAACAACCTTTTGGGTTGGGGAAGATGAGGAGACCGCAAAGTTGCCATAGGTTGGAGGAGACAGAGGAGAAAGGGTGACTAAATACATGTGTGATCCTGGACTGGACCTGGAGCAGAAAAGGGTATCAACAGAAAAACTGATGAAGCCAAATAAAGCCGGCAGTTTCGTGAACGGTAGCATAGCAACGTTAATTTCTCCACTGCGATCACGGTAGTACGGATATATATGACGCTAATATCGGCAGGTCCAGCTACACGATCAGGAACTACCTAAACATCTTTGCAGCTTTTCTACAAATCTAAGATGATCTTAAAATAGAAAGGTCAAGGACCAGCAGTTAGCATAATGGCTGTGTCGCTGGACTCCCACATAGCTGACTGCGGGTCACGTCCCGGACCCGGTGGCTTAAAACTTATACCAGGCGCGTGTGTGTGCATGCCCAAGATCCCGAGAGGAGAATGGAGGAGAAGGGATTGCGGCGTGGCCATCCCCCCTGGGGTGTGATTTCTCACTTTCTGTCTCTCTGTCTCTCTCTGTCTGTCTGGTGAGCGCACACGCCCTATAGCGAAATAGAAAGGTCAAGGGCCGGCTGGGTGGCACCGCAGCCAGGCGCTGCCTGAGCCCTGCCGGGCCTGTGCGGAGGGCTGCTGGTTTGGTGTCTTGGTCCGCCTGCACGTGCCAGGTGCATGCGCCACGACCCTGCCGGGCTGGGAAGGCTCGCGGGGCTGTGGCGTGGGAGCCCGTGATGGTGCTTGTCTTTCTCTTCCTCACCCTCTCCCTCTGCCCCCTCACTCTCGTGGAAAAATAAACTGCAATCGAATAAAATAACTTTAAAAAGAAACAAACTTCAGAGACTCCTCTGCCCTTGGAATAAAAGTCATCTCTGGGGCCAGTCAGTGTGTGGGGTTAAGTGCCAGGTCTGGGAACTCAAACCACCACGCATGTGTGTGCGTGCCCAGAACCCCGAGAGCAGAGTGGAGAAGCGATTGCGGCATGGCCATCCTCCCTCTCTCTCTGGCATGTGCACACGCCCTGTAGCAAAACAAAACAAAACAATAACCAGGATTTTCCACAGCTGGCAAGTCTCTGCAGGGGGCGGGCTCTACCCCCACCCGCTGGGCCTCCCACAGCTCCACAGCCCGAGGCCCACTGACCCGGCTCCAGCAGCCCCTCTCTGCTCAGCTCCTCAAACATGTCACAACGCTGCCCTGCCCAGGCCCTTCCCTCCTCCTGCTTCGCCTGGCTGGCTCCTCATGCTGGGGTCTCTGCTCAGAGGCCTTCCCTGGTCCGCCCATCACAGGCAAGGCCAAGGTCCAGCAGTTAGCATAATGGCTGTGTCGCTGGACTCCCACATAGCTGACTGCGGTTCACGTCCCGGACCCGGTGGCTTAAAACTTATACCAGGCGCGTGTGTGTGCATGCCCAAGATCCCGAGAGGAGAATGGAGGAGAAGGGATTGCGGCGTGGCCATCCCCCCTGGGGTGTGATTTCTCACTTTCTGTCTCTCTGTCTCTCTCTGTCTGTCTGGTGAGCGCACACGCCCTATAGCGAAATAGAAAGGTCAAGGGCCGGCTTGGTGGCACCGCAGCCAGGCGCTGCCTGAGCCCTGCCGGGCCTGTGCGGAGGGCTGCTGGTTTGGTGTCTTGGTCCGCCTGCACGTGCCAGGTGCATGCGCCACGACCCTGCCGGGCTGGGAAGGCTCGCGGGGCTGTGGCGTGGGAGCCCGTGATGGTGCTTGTCTTTCTCTTCCTCACCCTCTCCCTCTGCCCCCTCACTCTCGTGGAAAAATAAACTGCAATCGAATAAAATAACTTTAAAAAGAAACAAACTTCAGAGACTCCTCTGCCCTTGGAATAAAAGTCATCTCTGGGGCCAGTCAGTGTGTGGGGTTAAGTGCCAGGTCTGGGAACTCAAACCACCACGCATGTGTGTGCGTGCCCAGAACCCCGAGAGCAGAGTGGAGAAGCGATTGCGGCATGGCCATCCTCCCTCTCTCTCTGGCATGTGCACACGCCCTGTAGCAAAACAAAACAAAACAATAACCAGGATTTTCCACAGCTGGCAAGTCTCTGCAGGGGGCGGGCTCTACCCCCACCCGCTGGGCCTCCCACAGCTCCACAGCCCGAGGCCCACTGACCCGGCTCCAGCAGCCCCTCTCTGCTCAGCTCCTCAAACATGTCACAACGCTGCCCTGCCCAGGCCCTTCCCTCCTCCTGCTTCGCCTGGCTGGCTCCTCATGCTGGGGTCTCTGCTCAGAGGCCTTCCCTGGTCCGCCCATCACAGGCCCAGTGTTTGTTCCCACCACATCTCTGCTGTGTGCATTCCTGTTCCTGCTCTAGACCCGGTGGGCTGCTTGTGAGCTGGGGCCTTGCCTCTGCATGTTCTTTTTATTTTTTATTTTTTTGGTGGGGGAGAAGTTTTTGCTATAGGGCACGTGCACTCACCAGAAAGACAGAGAGAGAAAGAAAGTGAGAAATCATCCCCCAGGGGTATGGCCACACCGCAATCCCTTCTCCTCCATTCTCCTCTCGGGTTCTTGGCTACACATGCACCCTTGCCCGGCATGAGTTTAAGCCACTGGGTCCAGGACTTGAACCACAGTTGAC